GAGCGGTTGTCCAGCAGAGCCCTGCGTGCCTGCAGTCAAGCAGCCTCCACCCTGTCGGGACTTCTCATGACTGTCTCCTCCCTTGAGTTGTCACACTGTCTGCTCACACCTCTGTTCTACTGCGGAGGGACTGAAAACAGACTAGCTTATTTGTCTTATGATTCTTCTCTTGCAAACCTTGCTCAGAGAGGGCAATGATAAGATTTGGCTGGGCAGCCACACTCCTTCAACTCCTCTGCCCCACGGTGGTTCAACAACTGTACAGTGAAACAACCAGTCCTTTCCCCAGGTCGCTAGGATTTGCTTTTATTTCGGTTTTAAACTTTGCTTGGTTAGTGGTGGGTGGAGCGGATAGGCATGCTATATTCTGGCCTAATATGGATATGTGCTTTTCTTTTTCCTAAGGTTCCGTGAATAGTCTTCATCAAGAAACCATGAGTGCTCCGAAGATACGTGGAGTCATCCAAGCGCAAGGACACAGGAAGGGGATGGGCAACCTGGGAGGAGCCTACATTGAAATGGTGGAAGGAGAGAAGGAAAACCGGCTGGTCATGGTGTTTGACTCCAGTTCATTTGTAGGGGTTTTCGAGCTAAGGGACATTACAAGAAGCGTGTTTCAGGACTCCAGAGAGGGCCCCATTTGCCTGAATCTGGTATTTCAAAAGAACTTTTCCATGACCATTAAGGAGTTATCCTGCAGAGATGCTGAGGAGTTGAAGCTGTTCCTTGGCAGTGGGACAAAACAGGAGCTAAGCAACCCAACCTCCTGGCAAAACACCTGCCACAGGCCAAAGCTTGCGTCCCTGCATCAGAAAAACAACACAAGTGGAGCCACTGTTCCTGAGGAAACGCCTTCAATCACAGCCACGTCACCAAGACCCGCTGCGAAAGTGTTCACAGACCCAAATGACAAAATGGAAACAGTGCTGACCCCTGACATCGACCACGGTCAGGGCATTTTGAAAGAGAACACCTCTGCACACTTCAAGACATTTGCGAACAAGGACTTAAAGGATATGAAGAGCGAGAAGACACAATTCCTTTTAGAACATGCAGGAAACACTATGAAGCCAAACCATGGACAGTCATTCAGCACCACCTCCCAGGGAAACTCTTGTCTAGAGAATAACGTTTTTGCAACTGGGAATCTCTCTGCAGAAAGATCTTCGGCAGTCCCATCAGACCCAAATCGTGATTATCACAAAGAGCCTCGCTGGAATGAGTCCCAGCTACCTCTTCAGATGCATCCAAAGCCATTTGTGCCAGGTTTCCCCAATCTGGGGAACACCTGTTACATGAACGCCACTTTACAGTCTTTGTTTGCAGTTCCATCGTTTGCTGAGGACTTAACCCACCAAGGAATCCCATGGGAGATGCTTCCCGCAGGAGCCTTTAGCCTGGGCTTGAGCCAGCTGCTTGTGTTCAAAGATGTGTGTGATGCACAGACGAAGACAGAGTTTCTGGTGGCTATTCAAAAGTCCATTTCTCTGGTTTCTGACATCTACTCCAGCCGCCGGCAGAATGACGCTCAGGAGTTTTTAGGGCACTGCTTGGGTCAGCTGAAGGAGGACATGGAGAAGCTGCAGAGCACTGGCCAGGGAGTCAGGGAGACGGCTGATGGACATCCAGAGCCTCAGGTGCTGGCTGCTCAGGCCGCCCCCAGAGGCTTGGCTTGTCCTGTGAGGGCCAATTTTGAGGTGGAGCTGCAGCATTCCATCGTCTGCAAAGCCTGTGGTGCGGTCGTCTGCAAGACAGAACTGAGCAATTACCTGTCCATCAGCCTGTCCCAAGAGCAACCAGGAGCGTGGTCTCTCCAAGACTCTCTGGACTTCTTCTTCAGAGCCGAGGAACTTGAGTACAAGTGTGGGAAGTGCAAGCATGGCCGCTCCTTTGTGATCCAAAATGTCAGTCGGCTCCCCAGGGTCCTGATTGTCCACCTGAAACGCTACATGTTAAGTGCTTCAGAGCGCCTGGTGAAGGATACGCAGCCCGTTGGTATTCCCAAATATCTGAGCTTATCACCTCACTGCAATGAGGACACCAAAGGGCCTCTCCTCTTGGACAGCCCTGCACACGCTGAGGAACACCCAAACCTGAACGTTTCTCAAGACATAATTTCTGGAGCTACCAGCTCACGGGGTGGCTCTGATAAATGTATGGAAAACAAGTCGTCTGCGGGATCTCACAGAGTCATTGAGCTTCTCCCGCCCGCCGATAGGAAGAGACACGATGAGGACCTTCAACAAGCACTCCCTCCAGATCTTGGCCATGCAGAAATCTGCCACCAGCTGCTGCCCCAAAGCCTCAACAAGGCAGACGCCCTGAAACCCTCAGAGGGGAACCCAGTGAGCTCCACAGGCTTCCGTCTGCGAGAGGACGGCCTGGATTGCTCTAGAGCAGTGGCTGCTGCTCAGAACCCTGGAAGCAAGGACAACCTAGAAATGCTGGTCCCCAAAGGGGAAGCCGAGGGTGCCGAGAGGAAGCCAAGGAAGCGAAGAAGAAAGCGAAAGAAGCCAAGAAATGGTGATCCCCAGAGTGGACGCCAACAGGAATCCCCTGAGTGGAAGCCAAGAGGAGTGGGGCAGCCTCGTCATGCCTACAGGCTCATCAGTGCTGTCAGCCATCTAGGGAGCTCCACAGAGTCAGGGCACTATGTCAGTGACCTCTATGACTTTGCAAAGCAGGCCTGGTTCACGTACGACGATCTGCGGGTCTCTCAGACCCAAGAAGACTGGGTGCGGGCGGACAGGCGTCGAGATGGCTACATCTTCTTCTACATGCACAATGACATCTTTGAACTGCTGCTGAGAGACGCACAGAACTCTCAGACCATGAGCGAAGAATGATTGTGAATGAACGGCTTTTGCCGAGACTTTTAGGATGGCTTCCCTCTCAACCACTGCCTCTGTGGAAGAACCACGCTGAACTCCACCCCCAGATACTGAGACAGTAATCCCTGCAAAAAGCTCATGCACATTTAGTATGGAATAATGTTTCCCAAAGCTTGGCATGACAAGCATTCTCCCTCCTCAGGGAGAGGTTTTTAAATGTTCATCATTACGTGATGTCATAGATTGCATTGGGTTAAGAATTCAGTTACGTCTCTCTTGATGTGTGTGCCCACTTGACGAGGGTGTGGTTCCCATATCGGGTAATTATTCTTCGCGTGGTGATTCTATGTCATTAAACTGTGTTGCACAGCCTAACTTCTAAAATATGATTCAGGAGTGATTGATGTCAGTTATGTTATTTTGCTACCCTACATGATAACAAAATTAAATTGTATTTTGAAATACACTCTTTTAAGATTGAGAAGGCCTGGGCCACATGGTTGAAAAGTGGCACGGACATTTATCCCAAACTCATAAATGCTCACCCTTGACGAGGAACCCTGGATTCACATCTCTATCCTCGCACAGCATTGGTCAATAAAATTCTGCTTATGAAAGTAATCCATTTGTGATATTTCTGTCATTGCTAACACATTGGGGAACCCATTACAAGTGTAAATGCTTGGGTCCCACTTCAGACCTGGTGAAACCAAAAGCTGTGAGTGAGCGCACAGTCTAATACACATAGTGATGGACCAGACAGTCTGAGGACCACTTGTGTTCGGCCGGGTTGACTAGACAAACAAATGCAGGGACACTCATGTGAAAAAAGAGTTTTATACCAAGAAGTAAGTATAAGCAGCCCAAGGTAACTCAAGTCCATAATTCCAGTGCTAGTCCAGAGGTGATTCTTCATATTCATGCAGTCAGGAGCAATGCTGCCAAATGCAGGAAGACCACAGGCTGGTGGCTGAGAATTCCTGTGGATCCAATGGAAGTGGATGCATCTTTAGGCCTCTGGCAGGAACCATGGTCATCCAGGAGGAAGGTGAAGGCAAAGAGGGAAGGGGCGGGTCCCAGGGCACACCTTTTGGAAGGCTACAACCGCAAGAAGGCACCATCAGGTGGTAACCCGATTGATGTGTTGGATACCACACCTACACCTTTATATTTCTTCTAGTTGACACAAAATTATGTAATTACCACTGTAACCTTGTGATAAGTGGAAATATAGTCAAAGATATGAAGAATTTCATCTCACTTGAATCTACAGTCAATGTCCATGGACGCATCAGTGAAGAAATCTCCGGAAAGTGTTGAAGAGCAGGGGTGTCGCTTTGTAGACTAAGGTGTGCCACATCCAAGCATTGGTATTTCCAATCCTCTCATGTGCACGTGAAAGTTGGAAATGGCTAAGGAAGATGGAAGAAGAATTGGTGCGTTTGAATTACGGTGTTGCTGAAGAATACTGAAAGCATCATCAACTGCCAGAAGCACCAACACAATGGTGCAGGAAGAAGTACAGCCAGCATGCTCCTCACGAGGCAGGGTGCTGGACTTCATCTCATGTAATATGGACCTGTGACCAGGAGAAGCAGCCTGTTGACAGTGACGTCACACAGGGGAAGGAGAAAGTCAGGAAAACAAGAGGACCTTCGGGGCGCAGGGGGGTTCACACCGTGGCTGCAACGATGGGCTCAAACAGAACATTTGTGAGACCAGACCGGCCGGGCAGTGTTTGCCCCTGTGGTGAACAGGGTCACTTGAATCCATGACGACTGGACAGCCACTAAGGCCAACTGCTGAGAGGGAGATGTGGGGCTTTGTGTTTTCAATGAAGGTCCACACAGCGGTCTAGGTTTCCATCAACAGTTCTACAAACATTTTCCAGTGAATTATGTTCCGATAAAACTCTTTAAGGAAAAAAACATTGAGTGAATTTTGTTTCATGTCTCCAATATTGGGACATTCTCAAGATTTCTTTTCTGGTTGTTGTGTTAACGTTTGGGCTTTAAAAGATATAAGTTTGTTGTTATTATTGTTGATAATATACACAGCAAAACATAACCCAATCAACAGTTTCTACATGTACAATCCTTTTCTGTTATTATTAAAAGATCATTTTATTGGGGGCTTTCACTTCTTTTATAAATGTCCAAACATCAATGTTATCAAGTCTATTTTTTGCCATCATTATTTTATAAAAGCTCACTTTCTATTGAGCCCCTAGTATCAGTTCCGCTTTTCCCCCTTCCTCTTCCCAGCCCTCGGGACCCATTGATAAATTCTCAATTATTATTATTTTCATATTTTACACCAACCTCTGACTTTGACAACATCCTTCCCGTTGTGCAATTCTTTCTCCCTCCATTTCTGAGTTTTCTCTCCCCCCATAACAGACACTAACAGATTTCTAAGGTTTGAGTGCAATTGAAAAGAGCTTTGGATCAATATGTAAAGAGCAATAAAGCACACAGAAATGTTTCTATTCTATAAGCCAATGATTTCAAATGGTGATCTAATGTGTGGACAAGGGTGATAAGACTCTGTGGTGGTGGATGATAAGGGAGATGTTGAGTTAGACCAGGAGTCAAAGGGCCGCAGGAGCCCGGGTGGCTCAGTGGGTAAAGCACGAGCAACCAAAAGGTGAGTGGCTCGTGCCCACCAGCTGCTCTGCTGGAGAGAGATCTGGAAGTCCGCTTCTGTCAGGACTTTCAACCTCGGAGATGCAGTGGGGCAGTCCTAATCTAATATAGGGATGCTATGAGTTGGCATCAATTGTTGTGAGGGCACTCAGTCGCCGGTAACCAACCGTTCCAAAAAGAATCGCGTTAAACCGTCCTGAATGCGATGCGAGGAAAATGGGAGCAAAAATCAGAATCACAATAAAAACTTGTTTACTGGTCAGCTAGAGACTGGTGGAATGTCCCTCCCCAATTCATTATGGCCCTTGGTCTGCCTTCAGTTCTGTAAGTGAACTCACCCCCATGGCTCAAATTTAGCCAGACAGACAGAAGGGTAACCATAGCACTAGTGAGGTACACACACTTTGTATAAGCTTCCATTTGTGATCCGTGATGGGTCTTCAGAAAGATTAGGAGGGAAGATGGACTGGGAACAGGAAACCCAAGGAGGAAGTGGGTTGGACAATGTTACAGTGGGGCATGGATTGCAATCAATAAGATTCAACACAATGTGTCTGATTCATTGAATAGAAAACTGCTGGGCTGCCCTGTAAACCTTCCCCCCAACTCACAGTGAAAAGTTTACAAAGACAGGAAGCCACTCTGGCAACTCCTGCCAAGGCTTAAACTGTCACCACCAACCAGTGGTTCACAGGTGCAAGGTGCCTCAGTAGAGACCCAATCAAACTCCCCTCTACGGCTTCTAACTTTTCATTCCCTCTGGCAAAGTCAAAGTTTCCTTGTCCCCAGACTTATCCACCTGTCCCCTGATGTCATGCCTCTAGAGCTCTGGCACCTGCTCCCAGAGGAGATGCACTTTTTCCAGCCTGGCCCATGATGACAGAATCATTGGTCCTAATTACACAGGTGCTGGGGGAGATGTAAGTGTGTCCACTTTCTACTTCCAGAGTCCCCGAGAGGGTTGTTAGAGGTCTTGTAATGAGTCCCTGAGAGCGTGGCTCCGTTTCTGCCAGGTGAGATGCTCTATTAGCATCAAAAGTTAACTTTGAACATCTGCAGACATGATTACTCCATTGCCTGTCTTCAGGGTGGCTGTTTGGATTCCATTTGCATTAAAAGCATTTTTACTACCTGTTTCTGTTGCATGAAAGCTATGTGTATACATACATAAATACATAGTGATATATCATGTTTCAAATAGATTTCATAGTAATATAGATAATAATTATTGCACATGCTATATAGTATTATATGCATTACAATTATTATACATCCCCTTCAAGTGGTATTTTTTTTCTTGTTGTTTTTTATTTTATGCCTATTTCTGGGGTAATTTGTGGTGCTGATCCAGACAATTGCATGGATAAAGCACATCAGTGCTAGTTTCTTCAGTATATGTCCAGCTATTAAGGTATACTACCTTAGCAATTTATCATCTTAATTTTAAATGTGAGAAGCATTCAGATCCAGAAATTACAGGATACGATAAGCAATGGTAAGAAATATTTGCAAAAGAATTAGGTATTGAGGCACTTGCAAGTGAAGCTGTATATGGACCCCTGGTGGCTAGTTGGGTTCTCACTGAGCTGCCAATCATGTCAGCGGTTCAAACCCGCCAGCCACCCTGCAGCCTTGAAAAGAGGTAAAGGTCTGGAGACCCATAGGAGCCACTCATTTCGGTCCTAGAGGCCACAGCGAGTTAGCACTGATCACATGGCAGAGGGATTCTTTCTGGTCTCCGAGGCTGGGCAATATAGACCGAGACGGCATGTGGGAGACGGCAAAGCCAGAGCACAGTTGAAGAAGAGCAGACTCGATTAGTCAATTGCCTGCCTGGAGGGTGGCTGATATGGATTCAATACGTATTTAAAAGCATTTTTACTATATGTTTCTGTTTCATGAAAACTGTGTGTATATACATACCTAAATATAATATTATAGTTTACAAATAGATTATACAATAATGTAGGTAATAATTTTTGTACGTGAGCTATGTTATTACTGTTGGTTATGATACAGCTTCCCCTCAAAATGTGTTTTCTTGTTGTCTTGGGTCTTAGGCCTGTTCTGAGTTAATTTGGCCGCTGATCCAGAACTTAGCATTGGATAGACCACATCTGCTATAGTTTCCTAGCTATATTATCAGCTGTTAAGTCATGCTAACTTAATAAGGTTTCATCTTACATTTAAATATGAGAGGATTCAGACCCAAAATTACAGGATATGATAAAAAGGGGTAAGAAATATTTGTGAAAGAATATGGTATTAAGGGACTTCCGAAGGTAGCTGTCTGTGGACGCATGATGGCTGCTCAGTTTCTCATTGAGCTGCCAAGCATCAGGGCGGTGGTGGGAGTCCACCCGTCAGCCT